GGGCGTGAAAATATTTTTCATTTTATGTTGGCCGCAGAAGCAATAAAAATATCTGCCGCAGTGGTTATAGTGTGTGATTATTAAAAGTGCGCCAGTTTAATAGTGTAATTTTATGATTGCCAGTCTGCATTCTATTGCCTCGCCGCCACACAATATTCGCAGCATCCCCCGCCGCAATTCATCCCCGCAGCACAGTAACTGCCAGTGGCTGCTGATGCCGCCGACGCATCCTCGTTGCGGATAATGTGCGAGTGACAATTTAAAAAGGGGTTACATTCCTTGCGGCTATAAAAATTTTTCCACCCCTGTGCAGGCGACATCTAATATTCGCCGCCGCCGCCGCCGCCGCGATATTGCTCCCGCTTATTACATTACTCTTTATCTCTCACCCCTGCGCACCCCGCTTAAACTGTTTCTAATGGTTCTTTGCTGCAAATAGAGCCGCAATAAGTTATACAAATTGCACAACGGGTGGTAATACAATATAAGTGGAAACAAAAGTAACTAGACGTAAATAATTAGTTTGTTTTTGTATAAATAGGTTTATATTTTTACGTAACTAACAGAAGATAATTTTAATTGAGTTGCAATTTTTTCTGATTAGATCAACTTGGATTATTTAAATTAATTAGATAACTTAATTGTAAATAATAAAGTATTGTCAATATTGTAATTAAGTGTTAAATTTTTATTTTATTTTTAACTCCTTTTTTTGCTTAGATTTTAATTCCATAAAAACACGCGATTAAAATTCTAAAAGAATCAAGAAATCATTTTTTCTTTTTCTTTAAATTACGGTTGTCATTAAATTACTTATTAAGTATCAGCTGGATAAAAAAAGCAATAACATTTAATATGTTACATGCATGCTATAGTCATTTTAAAATTTAATTAACAATACATTACAAAATTTCAAAAATTTTCATAGTAAAACAATTCTGAAAAGTTTGGTTTCCTTTAGTTCAATAAATAAAATTTATTGCACTTAACACTAAATTTTGTATACTTTTTTCAATGCAGAAAAATAATTATGGATTTGATCACTTCAATTTTAAATAAAAAGAAGAAAAAAAATTAACTTTTTCTATAATCTTGACGCCAGCCCGTCAGACAGTTCAAAGAAACTTTAAATATCAGAAGTAAATAAAAGAAAGAAAGAGACAATGGGACTTTCGGGGACAATGGAAAGGCTTGCCGCTAAAAGGAAGTGTGGAAAAACTGCAATGTGAATGGTGGCGAATTTTTCTCGCCAATTTATCATGATCGCCGCGAAATAAAGAGTCTCCGGGGGTAATTTGATCGTTGTCCCCTCAACCCTCTCGCTTATATTCCCAGCAGCAGCACAAAAAGCGAAAAATAGACGACGACGACGCACTGCTGCGAACAGAGAAAAATTAAATGGAAGAAAAGAGTAATATGATAAAAAGCTGGCGTGCTTTTTTGTCTTTGTGAAAAAAGTGCGCACGGCGCGGCGACGGCGGCGGCGGCGGGAGAGAAAATAATTAAGCCCGCGGCGGAACAATGAGTGGAAACAAAGCGGGGGATGAAACAATTATTCTAAAACTTACTTGAAACGTGTCAACGTGTCATTTGAAGAAATATTGAATGAAATGAACCAGATAAGCAGCATTCCCTGCCGCTTTGTTTGCCCGCGAACAAAAAGGATGGAGTGAGGCGGACGCGAAAAGCACTGTTCGTCCCACATTATGCGCCATATTATAAATGGGACGTGAACAGTGAGCAGCATGTGATCGGTACGTCTGCACAAGCCCATTTTTGACATTTCGTACACTATACTGTACACGTCCAATGATTATTATATTTTCATCTCCATTGGGGCGCGCGACTCACTCACAGACGCCGCTTTGTATAAATTATGTGCGTTTTCTGCATGCACGAATCCACGCCCTCTCAACTAACGTCCATTGTTGATGAAAACGCAAATTTTATGATTCCAATGTATTGAGTTTCACTTTCTCAATAGGTTTACTTATAATCAAAAATTTTAAAGAAACTTATAAAATATCGTATACGACAGGAGGTGCCGTTTTATCCAACAAAAGTCCTTTCCTTTCAAATAAATTGCTCTGCAATACATTAGAACGTATTTTTTTCTACTTATTTTTACTTGTCCGATTTCTTTACAAGAGCGAAACCGCGCCACTAGAAAGAATAATGCATAAGAATAAGTCAAAATCAAACAGAATTCTTCTCTGTGGCAGGCAAGACTTTTAGAATGATATAAAAATTTCTCCTTATTTTTATGTATTCAATTGAAAGTTTAGAGAGTTTAAAGCCTAGAAAGTTAAATATTTTAGATACATTAATTAATTTTTTAAGCTTTTCAGGAAAATTTTAATATGAAACAAATTTTTTTGGTTTCTATCGCTTTGTACAGAAGCAGAATTTTTATCAATAAATTGAAATTAAAAATAAAATAAAGGTTCAATAAATAAATGAACAAATGAAGTCGCTTTCCCCCAGGTCTACTTTTTCATTGAAGTACTGTAAAAAAGCGAGACATTTGAGCATAATAATTCTACACAAATGGATTAGTTTTTTCATGGATGCGTGTAATCTACTTTTTCGGAGTGCTCATAAAACGGTATGAAAATAAATCTTTTCAATTTTTAACTTTCCACAAAATCAATTATTTTTTATTTTAAAATTCTCTTGAAATAAGCTGGCTATTAGAGCTAAATCAGTTGCTTTTTTTCGTGAAAATCCCCAAAAAATTAGTTACTATGCCGATCAGAGTCGAGGCAATAACAAAATTATTTTTAAAAAAAAATACGATTTCCAAAGAATTTTAGCAGCTTTAGTACTTAAATAAGTTAGTACTTACTTTTGTATATGATATAAAGATTATATTATGCAACGCGTCTTACTCACAATCAGATCAATTAATTAACTGCTCCATCACTACTAAATACGTTAGCAAAAACTGAATTTTTATTTAATATGCATATAATTATATGGCTTAATACCCTCCGTCGTTCTTACAAATTTTGCATTAAGTTATTTGTTTCCTTTGGCGATGTGAAATAAAAAAAATTTAACTTGCGCTGTTTTCTGGCTGCTTTCCTTTGAAGAAATGGCATAATTATATTTTAACAATTTATTTTTATCCCCTACAGTTCTCTACTAATGACCTTATTTTTTAAAGGGATTAAATAAAATGCTTGATTGAAGCAATTCCTAGGAACGTTGCAGCGAGAACATTTTCATGAAACAGTTTTTATATGAACTAACTTGTTAATTCAAAGGAAATAATCATGGATTCTGAATTGAAATTCCGCTTCAATGCAGCCCGACTTCCTGCTACTGCTGAACGAGCATTGCGCGGTTTAAACAAAACGAAGCAAAGTGGCTGCCAATTGCGCGTGTGTATAATATGAAGTTGAAAAATTTATTTTCGTCGTTGAAAAACAACAGTCGCTCGTTTTGCAAAACATCAGGAATAATGAAATCATGAGTGGCGTATGCACGCTTCAAAAATTATTAAGCAGCTTTTCTTTTCAACTTAATTGCGTCTGCAAAAAATGAGTCGACAAAAATAATGCCGTTCACTTGCGAGTTAAAATATTTGAATGCGGCATGAAAAATGCGAGCAGAGACATATTTATCCATGATCCAGATCGCATGAGGCATGTCTTTTTTTAAAATTCTCTTTTCAAAACATCTAATTAGCCTGATGAAATAAGTGAAAAGGTGCTTAAGTGGTATGCTTAAATTTTGGGACTCCTTGCTATATACACGGAAATAAAAATGAAGATTGATGACAAGTAATATTAAGAAGTTATTTAAATCAATCACCTAATGCGATATTCAGGCTGTGAATGAGCTTTTTTTAAATTTAAAACCTTTTTATTTGTGAAAAAAAAATTAATTTGCTTCCAAAGCAGATTGGATATTTTATAACTAAAATTCTCTTCAGTACATATTCACACAATAAAAAGACAATTAACTGGTTGTCACTCTCCCTATTGTACAAGGGAGACGAATTTCAAGAGTTGTTTAGAAAAGTAAGTGATGAAGCCACTCACACAAACGAGCAGAGGAAAATTTATCATTGAGCGAGAGTGTTAAAAAAGGGTGTTGCTTTCAAGAGGTCAGCGTCCCAAATTGAAATTCCAACAACTTCCGAATATGTTTGTGACAGTTTAATTTGTGCGAAGAGTGCCGATATAGAGTGAGGACGGGGCGGATTTATATTATTTCACCCTCGCCCTCTCTCGTCTCGCGATAATAATGCGCAGCGCCGGGCGGGTTGCGGCGAAGCACAATCCATTTGCACTTTCGCGGGTGACGCCAAAATTTAATCCAATCAAGCGCCATCATCAACAGTTTTATTTCTGTTCCAATTTGAGGGACGAGTGAATTGCTGCGGTTAATTGGCGGGGTGGAAATCTGAATAAGCGTCCACTCAATCCGCGCCACATCAAACTTGACAGAGACCACGCGCACAGATTTATATTTAAATTTCCTTTTGCTGTTCTGTTAATGTTGACAAGAAGATTTTTAGAAACACAATGCTTATTAAAATATTAATATAGCCCAGGAATTATTGTGCATTTAAGACAAAATAAATAAATTTATGTACAAATAATGTAAAAAGTTAGGTTAATAAAGAAATTGACAATGTTAATTCAAAATAATGTCACTGAGAATAATATATGTTCATAATAGATCAATTTGTGAGACTACAAAATTTATAAGATAAATATGCACACAATACAGAAATTAAAGTGTTTAATAAAAATACTTTTTTTACAGACAGATTTTATATTTAAAGACAAATTTAATTATGCTTACATCCACAATTTAGAGCATTTCAAAAGAAACGCATAATTTATTAATTATATTTTTAATTATAATATTTTTATTTCTATTTATTTGTTTTATAAAATTTTCAGAACGGCGCTTCCTTGGTCGCTTCTTGGCGCGGCTGCTCATTCCCACTACTTCCTAGTATTCCGATCTGCCGGTGGTGCCGCCACCGTCTTGTCGGTGAACATAAACAAAAAATTGTCTGACAAAATCAAAACATTTCATTCTGGTTCATTCTACACAGATTTTAAATTATTTCCTTTTCTCGTTCAAACGACCTGTTTAGGATTTCGGCAACGACAAATCTCACAAAGTCGCCGAAGCACCGGTTTGTCTATTTCCGTCACTAACGGACCTCGCAGAATTTGCTTTTTAATTCATACATATTTAAAATGAACGAAAAGAATTTTTCTGAAAAACTGGAGGCTTTTGGCACTCTCGGAGTAGGAACTAGTGCTCCAGCCAAATCAGAGGCAGTGAACGTGCCATCAATATCACCCCAAGAACGTGAGGTGGCTCAGGTAATCCCTGAAATTTTTGTTAAAAATTTTACAATTTTAGTGGATTTTAAAACAATTCTTCTATTTGATAGGCTGCACTCCAAGATTACATCAAGGGAAATTATGCTGGTTGTCTGGAGAACTTTGTAAAACTGGAGCAACTTCGGCCCAAAGACATGAAGCTCCATGTCAACAAAGCCATCGTTCATTTTTGCAATTCCAACTTTAAAGCTTGTGATGTATTCACAAAAAGCCTAAAAGCTGTAGAAGAACAGGTATTTTATTTATTTATGGTTTTATTTAATGCAAATAATACGGCTTGATTATAGGTCAAAGAAGACGAGCAAGACGTTTCCAGTTACATTCACTACAATCTTGCCCTCGGACTTTTTAATCTTGGCCAAATCAGTGCAGCTCAAAAGCATTTGCTTAAAGTTTTTCAATGCATTGAGTCATTAGGTAACTTGCCTAAGCGATTTAAGTGCCGCATAACAATAAAAAAAACTTTCGTTACAGATGAAGGTCTTGCACAAAGAGTGTGCATTTTGCTCATTGAAGTCTTCCTCTGCTTGAACCAGGCGCAAAAAGCTCTGGCTCTTCTTTCATACACTGAAAATCAACTGCTTAGTTCATACTTTTCTCATTCACTAGGATCTGTATCGGACAAGTCACCTGTCATCACACCAGGATTGATTAAGCACAAAAAGGTAGCTTTAGAAATAAGTATAAATTTTTACTTAAATCATTTAACTAGGAGCCGACCACAAAGCTCCCGGTAGAACCGACAACACCACCTCTTCCACCTGCTTTTGAAACCGAGTGGCTAAAGTCAAAGCTTGCAGCTCTGAGGGCGCGAGCCAGCTTGCAAGCACGACTTTGGCGCACGAATAAGAAGGATGTAAAATCATTGCTTGCAGTCAACAAGCCTCAATTTGTAAGATTATCACATTTTTTTCATAAGAGTGTCAATCTTATTTAATTTTGTTTTAAAGAATTCAACTGCTTTAATGGCCAAAACTTATTTGGACTTCTTGCGTGGGCAGTACAACAAAACGGCCCGGGTCTTGACGTCTGTTACGCCGGCAGAAGGATTGTAAACAATATTATATTAACGAAGTGATTGTTAAAAAACTACAATTTCCTTATTCTCAGGGAACTGGGTGACAATGTTTCGACAATGTGGTTCAACAACCTGGCATGTTGCCACTTCATGGGTGGAAGGAATCTCCTTGCTACAAATTTCTTCTCTAGGGCGATAGACGAAGCTGCCAAGTACCATATAAATCCAGCAGGTAACTTAATTTATAATTTAAAATTGACATTTAAAAAAAATGGCAATTTATTATTTCACGTTTAAACATTAACAAAATTTCAGCTGAGATGTCTGCTAAACTAGCGTATGCCCAAGTTTCAATGAACTTGGGCGTTGCCCTTCTGCAAGCAGGAAAACCTCAGAGTGCTTTTACCTACTTGCTGAAAGCTGTTCACGTGTTTCCGTCAAATCCAAGGCTCTGGCTCCGTATTGCTGAATGTTGTATTCAACATTTTGGACAGGTATAGAGCCTTGATTTAAAAGTTATTGCTTTAAGTAATAAAATTTTAATTTCTTTCCAAAGGACAATGCTGAAGTTTATGACTGTGAAAATCCAGGCGAAAAAATTGTGAAAAGCTACATACCTAGTATTTCTAGCACAAAAATTATATTGGCCAGCAGTCTGAGCCCAAGTGCAAGGTAAGAGTTATTTTTTAGTATACCACGTCTATGGTGACAATTAACAAAATTTCAGTATTGACAAATCCGTTAGCTCCCAGCCGAATTTCAGTCTCCAGTTTGCAAGTCTCTGTTTAAAAAATGCTCTTGTGATGCTCGATCCTAACTACAATACCCCAGGAAGCACAGGGGATTTACTTTCAACCAAACAGTCTGATGTTACAGACAGTCCGTCTGCCCAGCCTAACCAAGTAATTGTTCAGCAATAATGTCTTTTTTATTTTATAGCGTTGACTCTTCTTAAGACTGTTTCAGGTGTTTTTACACTTTTGGAAACTTTGAGTGCACCTTCCACGTTACCGCAATGTACCCCGTCAATACCATTGACAGAAACAGAGGCTGATAGTCTAAGGATGTCTGTGCTGGCCGCAAGTGCTTACACAAACTTGTGCTTGGGCGAGACAATATTGGCTGTGGAGCATGCTAAGAAGCTTCTTACGCTCCCAAATGTACCAGAGGGGATGAAGTAACAATGATTTTTTTTTTAAATCTTTTAAAATTTAACTAATATTGTGGCAATTTAGGTTTTTAGCCCAGCTGTATGCAGCAGAGGGGCTAGTCCGACTAGATCACATTTCTGAGGCAATAGAATTTTTGCAACCAGACACTATTTTGTCTGACCTTGTCTGGGATTTACCTGAGGTAGTGGAATGTGATAAAGACTCGGCAACTCCTGAAACAAGACCTACAGGTGAATAAGGAGGCTTTACTTATTTGCTAGTAAAATTAACATCCACCTTCTGTACAGCTCAATATGAACCATCGTCTCAACAAACAGCAAAAGCAACTATGCTTTACAACTTGGCCGTTGCGTATGCCATAAGAGGGAACTTTGACAAAGCGGCAGACACAATATCACTGGTACAAAATTATTTTTTTCTTTTTAAGTAAATAATCCTTTTCATTTAAAATCTACAGGTTTGGCAGTGCAAAAACAACAATGGAAAAATTCCCATTCATCTTATGATGCTCTCGATCTACATTGAACTCCAACAAGGCCACACACAAAATGCAAGAAATTTGTTGAATCAACTTGGTATTCCGCAAAGAGCTTAACAGCATTTGTTTTTGATCTAACAATAATACATTTAACTCACATGCAGAATAAAGAGGAAATAATCAATACACCTAACAATGTGCTGCTGTTTATGTTACTTTATTAAAATGTGGAGTCTAAATAAATAAAAAAATTAAAATCGTAATTATAGTACAGGTGAAGATTGGTTGAAATTATTTTATTATACAAAAAATGATGGAGTTGAGATCATAATATATGATTAATTTAAAAATGTAGACCTCTAGTGATGCATGCAATTTAAATAATCCTCCTTCATGCGACTTCTATTATTATTTTCTAATTCTAATTTCATGAATTTTCATTTATCTCATTCACTAGAAAATGAAAAATAATTCATTAATGATAAGTTCAAACTAGTTACAATTTTTCTGACGTGTTTAAATTTGCAATGTACCACGGTCTGTTATTTCTTGCAAAGGAATTTTGAAAGTAGTGATTTGTAATAAAAAAATACTGTAGGTTACCGCGCAGCAGAGATGTCCATCAGTTTGTGTTCAACAGGTGTCCCTTTGCTTTCATTATCCCTTGACAATTCCGAGACCACTTTCTCTGGGCACCACACACACATTAGTTATCATGTAAGCTGCCACCGTAAGCAGATGATTGATCTTAGCTCAGGTTAATTATGCATGGGCGGGATTAAATCGTTCAAGAAAAATTCTTTTGGTCGACTGGCGAGGACAAGAGCTTTTCTCGCTTTTTCAACGTGAGGAATTATAGCGCCTCTCAAATATATCAGTTGATTTTATGTATTGCCAGCTGAGAAGTGATTATTTTAATCTGCATAATTATGATGTGCGGTAAGATTTTTCAGTGGAAAAATGAATAAGAAATAAAATATGAAAAGAAACAAACTGTAATTAATTACTTTGTATTTGTTACATATATTTTACCAGATTACTTTCCGTTTTCATTTTTACAAAAAAGATAAATTTATTATAGAAGTTTTAATTCCAATTATTATATGAGCGAAGTTTCTTGTGTGATGCATTTTAATTTTTACGCATGTGCGTATTTCTATTGCAAAGAGAAATCATTTTTGAATACATATTTTTCCAATCTACAGATCGATTTCTTCCCGTTCATTGGGTGACACTCAAGTTTTTGAATGGATTATGCCGAGAAAGGTGATTCTATATCAGCAGGGCCTACGAGATCACTTTCTCGACGCATTTCACTTGTTGTCTGTTGCATCGCCCAAAGGCGTCAATGACAATGATCCCTGCATGCGCTGTGATGTATAAATATAAATATATTATGAGAGTAATATGAATTTCTGAAAGCGCGCATTTTAAAATAAATAAGTAAAAAAGTAACCGCACAGACTTTATTATTTATAATGGGAATAGAAAAGACCTGAAGCTTTTGTCCGGCCGTCTGCGTTTTTGTCACCCGGCGCTGGACTCGCATTGAATCAACTGAGCACGTAGCACAAGACAAAAGTAAGAGTTGGGTCTACTGAGAGCGTCGCCGCATGTTTATTTACGTATTCATTCTAGCTACACGCTGATTTTAACGTTTTTGCCTCCATTGTCCAAAGGCTTATGAGATTCTGGCAAGCGGTTTGAAGAAAGTTTTTGCCCACTCACCACTGCCTTTGCAAGACGAAACATTTTTTGTTTTTTATTTTATGCTTTTTACAACACAAAGGTGCGCGACTGGAATAATTTTTAGTAAATATAATGTGTAGTAAATTATATTATTGTCCACATTTCGCGGAATGTATGGTCCACAGAGGCGCTTTATACAAATCTCTGGATCTTTATCTTTAGACATATCGTGATCTGTGAACTTAAGAGAATTAGTGAAATCAGCAAATATTAAAATTTTTTTCGTCAAAAGTTGAATGTTGGTTATTAATATTTACAAACTGAAAATACTTTTAATCTTAAAACACCACTCAATCATTCATTTTTTTTTCTAAATAACAAAACTTTTGATAAATAAAATAAATAACATTTAATAAATCATCTGATATCTAAGCGCATTGAATTTTTCACATTTAATTATTCAAAGTAATTTTTTGCTTGTCTTTTTTTAGTTAGATCACAAAAAAAATATTAAACCAGGCCACTTGCCTTGTACCAAATTGATTACAGTATTTTTGTTTCATGACCGTTAGCTAAACAAATTGAGCACACTTCTTTTTGAGTTTAGTATTCTAGTTAAACATATTTGGGTCATTTAATCTATATTATATTATAACGTATATTAAAGTTTGCTGACAGATAAGAGAGATGGCTGATAAGATATTGAAACAGAGGATCTATGGTATTCATATTGGCACGACACCAACACTGCTCATCAGAATGACTTCCAATCCGGCGGACCTAAAACTGTTGGTCCACCCGGGTGACCTCCTGGCAGCAGTGAAGACCAAATTTGGGCCCACCGCATCCATAATCAACTATGAAGTCGAGTTGGGAACGGAGACGCTGCAAGGGTTTGCATCGCTCATTTTAAGGGTCGCAGCAAAGGTTCGAGTTAACGATTTTGAAAATGTGGATGCACGATTCATTGTGAAGAGGAAACCAGCTTACGCAGCCCACGCTGAAATGATGGGCGGTCTCGGTGACATCGGCCTGAGGGAGAGCAAGTATTTTAATGAAATTTTGCCCATTCTCGAGGAGAAGGCCGGACAGTTGCCTGTCGTTCGCGCCCTTGTATCCCACAAAGATGCGATTGTCATGGAGGACTTGTGCGAATCCGGGTTTGAAACTGTGTCCAAGACAATGACGGACATTGGGCGAGGAAAGGCGCTGACTCTGCCAATTGCACGTGTGGTAGCGAGGAAACTGGCCAAACTTCACGCCGCTTCGCTCGGAAGGAACTGGCTGGAAACAGAAGCAGAAATGTTTGAGAGCGATCCGATTTTTGACGGACCTCAAAAAGAAATTTTTAAGGGGATGGTCATGAATGCATTTTTGAATATCATAATTCCGATTATCGATGAATTTTTTGGCGACGTTCCTATTCTCAAAAAAGTTGTTGATTTCACTAATGGACCAAGGTATTTTGAAACTGTGGCAGAGGTAATAAAAGACAAAAGCTTCAGACAAAATGTTGTCCTACACGGAGATTGCTGGCTGAACAATTTTATGTTCAAGATTGACCCAGAAACCGAAAAGGTCATTGACATGCGGTTCATTGATCTACAGATTGTCAGATTTGGGTCTCCCGCAAAAGATCTACTCTATTTCCTGTATTCATCTTCAAGCTTAGAGTTTCGTGAAAAATATGAGAGGGAAATCTTGAAAACATATGTTGAGGCATTTAATGCAGAGGCAAATGAAACTCCAGATTTGCTTCAATTTGAAGATTTGGTTCAAGATTATGAGAAATCACGCATATTTGGAATTTTCATAGCAATGGGATTGCGCCCTGTTCAATTTTTGACGTTGTTTGCTCCCCCGTCTGGTGGAGGATTGGATAATGACTTTCTTGAGCAAGTCAAGGACCCCTCAAAATGGGCCGAGCCAGCAAAAAAACAGTTTCGGGAGGACGATATTGTGAAAAAAGAGTTTACAGATTTAATACATCACAGCATTGATGTTTTAAAACAATATATTGATGTAGAAGAATAAATTAAAAAATCGTTTTTCCAATAAATATTTAAACAGCCTAGTTTCATTTATTGTAACACGACAGTACATACACTTCAAATTTTGAGTTTTATCTTTTTCGTTATCAATAAAACTTGACTTGCAACCGCAGCCTTTGCATCGACGGAGTGATATGATAAGTAAGAAATTACACCCGCAAATTTTGTTTTAATTGTAATCGAGTGTTGCAGGCCGATCATGTCGGACGACAAGAAAAGCCTCGTCCACCCTGGTGACCTTTTGGCTGCCGTTAGAGCAATCTACGGTTCCGATTGCAAGATTTTAGGATGGGACGTAAAATTAGGAAATGAGACCGTGCAGGGTTTTGTTGCCTTGATGCTGCGAGCACAGGTGGAGGTAAAAACCCCAAACGGCGGAGTCTCTGAAGTCAACTTGATGGTCAAGAGAGCGCCAACGGTCGCTGGGCAATTAGCAATGGTCGAAAACTTTGGTAATATAATAGCTCGCGAGGGAATATTTTTCAGCACCATTCTACCTCGCCTGGAGGAAAACAGTCCCAACCTTCCCATCGTGAAAGCTCTGGTTGCACATAAAGATGTGATAATCATGGAAGATCTTTGCGCCGCTGGATTTAAGAACATACCTAAATCGATGCAAGATATTGGAAGAGGTAAAAAGTTGACGTTCCCCTTGGCTCGTATGTGCGTGAGAAAACTCGCAAAAATACACGCTGCGTCAGCTAACGAAAAATGGACGAAAATTATGCCGGTCGAGTTCTTTGACGTTGATACTATGGCGGACAGCAAAAACACCGAGCATTTCCAGCAATTTCTCAGTTTAATGTTGCACACAGTTATAATTCCAATAATGAAGAAAATTTTCCTCGATACGCCATCCATTGATAAATTTATTGAATATCTATCAAGCCCACAGCTCTTTAGCAACGCCATCGACGGCATCATTTGTGACAAAAACAAAGGACCTAATGTTTTGGTCCACGGAGATTGCCACTTGAACAACATGATGTTCAAACTGGATGACAACAGAAATCCAATTGATATGCGATTTATCGACTTTCAAATTACGAGATACGGACAAGCCACCACTGATTTGGTATACTTTTTATATACCAGCGCTGGGAAGGAGTTCAGAGAAAAATATGAAATGGACTTAATCCGCGCCTACGTGGAGGCGTTCAATGCCGAACTCTGTGTAACGCCCGACCTCCTTAACTTCGACAGTTTCTGGAAAAGTTACGAAGAAGCTCGTTATTACGGTGTTGTTGTAGCTTTGGCCATCAAGCCTATGCAGTTTTTGACGGCATTTGCACCTCCCAGTGGTGGAGAGCTCAAAGATGAGTATTTTGAAGAAAAGGATAAAATAGCGAATTTGCCCGCTATTGCAGCTGCCGCCTACGAAAATGATATACTTTTCAAGGAGGAAATGGACTGCTTAATTCCTCACGCAATGGCTGTCATGAACAAATATGTATTTGCTTAATAAAAAAAAAATGCATTCTTACATACTTGTAAGTTTATTTTTAATATTTTATTATTTGATAAACATCAAACATTAAAACTACCCAACTGACAGTTCCGCACATAAAAATTTGATAAAGAGAAAGAGATAACTAAAAAAGCTTAAAATTTTTTACCTTTGCGTATGTTTACTTGAACTTTATTGTTTATTCTGGTTATAAGAGCAAATTTAATAGCAACCCAGTTGAAAATAAATTATATTTCAATAATAGTACCAACATTGAATAAATTAATAACAGCATTATTGTGTTAACGTATTGATAAGATAATTGATATTAATTTATTTTAGAGTTCGGAGGTTATACCTGGGCGCCCGCGTTGGTGGCGGGGGCGTATTCATTGATGGTGCATTATTGGTATAAGGGGGAAAAGATTGTAATTAATTTGTAAAATTTCTTGAATATACTTTGCATGTTAATTTTTCAAAATTGTGCTTATAATTGGTGTCAGCTTATTTCATTTTACGGCTCATGAATTATGGTTGCAACCCGAAACCGAAACTAGTAAAGAAGGGATTTTCCGGATTTTCTGTATCATGCAGAAACAAAAGTTGCTCATCTTCACCAAGGAAGCTGGATTTTACTTTTGCCAAAAAAAATTTAGATATCAAATATGTAACTTGAAATTTATAGTTAAAATTTAATATAAAACTCACAAAAATTCAAACTAGGGATTCTGATGATTGTTTATTGGTTTTATAACGTTTTTTCAAAAATTAATTAATGAACCATAAATTATTCATACTTAAAAATTATTTAGTGTTTTTGAAAATTATTTAAATAATTATTTAATTATTTAATAATTCAAATATAATATATCAATTGATATAATAAATGAGGAACATATTACCAATCCATCTTTATTATACCATTAATTTCCTCAAAAATCTAAAACGTAAAAATGTATAGCTGGATGCAGTTATTGCAGCTGCAAGCACAGCAATATATTATAATTATAATACTCTTATTCTTAAATGAACTAGAATATTATCCAACCATTTTCCATTTATAAGGACTTAAAACGATAAGATTTATTGTTATCTATAAAAATGGGAGTTGAAAACCTTGAGTCGACAGAGATAGTGAAATACAAACAATCATTGATACATAAACTCCCTCGCACATTTTGCTTCACGTTTGCTCAGTGGCTGCAGTCATGTCGGTCGACAAAAATAGCCTCGTCAACCCTGGCGACCTTTTGGCTGCTGTTAGAACAATATACGGTCCCGATTGCAAGGTTCTAGGATGGGACGTGAAACAAGGCACAGAAACAGTCCAGGGGTACGCATCCTTGATGCTGCGAGCAAAGGTTAAGGTAAAAACTCGACATGGCGGAGTCACGGAGGTCAACTTGATGGTTAAGAGACAACCAACGGTATCCGCGCAAAGGGAGATGATTGAAAGTTTCGGCAACATTATTGCTCGCGAAGGTACATTTTTCAGCAGCATTTTGCCGCGCCTACAAGAAAACAGCCCCAACCTACCTATTGTTAGAGCTCTGGTCGCATACAAGGATGCAATGGTCATGGAAGATCTTTGTGACGCAGGATTCCAGACCATACCAAAAACGATGCAAGACATTGGACGAGGCAAAGTTTTGACTTTTCCATTAGCTCGTATGTGCGTGAGAAAACTCGCAAAAATCCACGCCGCTTCGGCAAACGAAAAGTGGACGAAGATCATGCCAGTTGAGTACTTTGATGTTGATCCCATGATGGACAGCAAAAACGCCGAACAGTTCCAACTATTTATAGGAATGACCGTGCAAAGCATCATAATCCCTTTAATGAAGAAGATGTTCCTTCACACGCCATCCATTGATAAATTTGTAGAATATCTATCAAGCCCGCTGCTCTTGAGCAAAGCCATCGACAGCATCAAGTTTGACACGAAAAAAGGACCAAATGTTTTGGTCCACGGAGATTGCCACTTGAACAACATGATGTTTAAACTGGATGACAATGGAAATCCAATTGATATGCGATTCATTGATTTCCAACTCGCGAGATATGGACAAGCCACCACTGATTTGGTATACTTTTTGTACACAAGCGCTGGAAAAGAGTTCAGGGAAAAATATGAAATTGACTTAATCCGCGCCTACGTGGAGGCGTTCAACTCTGAATTATGTGTAACACCTGACCTCATTGACTTCGACAATTTCTGGAAAAGTTACGAAAAAGCTCGTTATTATGGTCTTGTCATAGCTTTGGGCATCAGACCCATGCAGTTTTTGCCGGCATTTGCAGCACCCAGCGATGGCGAGTTAACAGAGGAATTTTTTGATATGGACAGGATAGCAAACATACCAGTTCTTGCAGCTGCTGCCTACGAAAATGATGAACTTTTCAAAGAGGAAATGGATGGGTTAATTCCGCATGCAATGGCTGTTATGAACGAATATGTATTTGTTGAATAAACACATTTTTCTTGTAATTTGATTTTTTTTTCATTAAAAAAATTAAATAAAACAATATATGTATCTGTCATATATTATCTTATTGCTTTTTTTCCCAAAAACTGGCATCACCCTCGCAATTAAAAAAAATTAGGAAATTTCAAACCTGATTCCAAACATTTCTAGCTCAAAATAAGAATTAGATAAATTTTAAAGCGAATAAATCACTGACTGAGTTACTCTCAGATTGACCTGCATAATTACAATTATATACCTCATATTTTGCTGCCAAATTTTTATTGGAGAGCAGTTATAGTTGAAAGGCCTTCCTGAACCCTTCTACTGTGACGCATTAGCATAAGCTTTTGGTAAGGCACGGCGGACTTAATAATGTTTGGAAAGTAATCGAATCACACACATTCAAATGAGTGAATGCATTATTCTCACAGCGAATCGCAGTATATGAAGCGTATTGTGCTCTTTGTGTGCAAAATTCTTATCATCTCACTTTCAATATATTTCTCAGGTGGAGAGTAAATTAAAGCGAGGCTGCACACGGACTGAATAACTTAATTTGAAAAATATTGCAGGAGAGAAGAAAGGAATTGTAAGAGAAAAGTTAAAGTTTAGGGTCATTACAAAGGAATACAAATTGTTTTAATTAATTATAATTTTAAGTCATGAAGTGCTTTAATGCGTGAAGTAAATTTTTCCTCTAAAATTCTAAAAAAAATTTTCTTTCATATATATTTGCTACAAATTTATCAATTTTAGTAACTTAAAATATTGTCAAATCACATTATTTAAGCATTTTCATTAAAATAATTTAAAGATTATGATAGTTTATAGCTTACATAATAGATTACATAATAAGGCAGATATTATCATTGCTCACAATCAGAATATAAATAAATAACCGAGTGCAAACTTGATCAAGGGTTTTTCATGTGGTGTGCTATCAGTTTAATTTTAAGCTGATAACAATTGACGTTTTCGACAATGCATTCAATCAATGGGACTGAAGTGAGTTAGGATAAAATAATTGCTTGAAATTTGTTTGCTCGCCTACAAATGTGACTACAAAATTTAAAGAACTTGACGAAGCTAAAAATTATTGTATTATTATGTCATCTTTAGAAGGTATTTAGCATGGATATAATTTTAACTTGCTAGAAACGGGAAGTGCATTTAATTACTCAAGAAAGAGACAAGAATCAGAAACTTGGAACACACTCTGAAAAAAAGCTTCTTACTCTCCCTGCATTATGCACACAGATTACATTGCTGAATTTATTATCAGATCATGGTGCCGCGATCTAGAGAAATTTCCGCGTGCTCACAAGGTTCACGCGTGAATAAAGGTAAGCGCTTCTCACGGCAAAACTCCAAATGTTATTAGGATTAAAAATAATTATTCAAGAGTAAAAAATCTCTTGACGCTGCAAAGAACATCTTTATTGGGAATCTGTGGGCGCCGCAGCATTAAAATTAGTTCACGCGGCGGCGCGGTGACAATAAAGAAGCCGACTCCTCAGCTCCGCATTTAAGACCTTAATAATAATTGAGGTTGACCATAACTTGATCCCCTGTGAAAAAGAAAAGCAGCCAAGCATTCGGAGCCGAACTTTCTCTTCGCATCATCAATACGCGCTGACCTTAAGTGACCAGCATCTCAGCTCCTATCACCTCATTATTTTTCTTTCGTGTGAGAACTCGCTGCTTCTCCCCACCACTGATGATTATACATAATACCAGGGTGCAACGCAAATTGAGACAAACAGTGACTGAGACTCATAAATTTCCATAATTGCACCCCTTCATTGCATCCAGTTTCCTTTCCTTTTCTTTGCTGGCTCAATTCGGCTCCGATTGTGAAACGATGATATAGATGTTTTCTTTTTTCTACGAACCGAAAAATATAAATTATCTGCCTCTCATAAAAGATTCACTTTCTCGCGCAATAAACGCGTAAAATGACGATGCCGTAAATTGTGTTATTTATTCGCGGGCTTTTCCATTCACGATGATGTTTCAGTTTTTTTGTGTGACTTGAAATTAAAGCAAATACGCAGGCAAGGTTAGGTAATGAATGTTGCAATAACTTTTTTGTCCGCTCGAAATTTAAATTGCAATAACAAACAAGGAAGCAACTCGCTCCTTGACAAGGGTTAATTATAATAATAGGGCGCGTGATTGTCCGCTGACATTAGAATGGCAAAAGTGCAGAAACCAAAATAGTTCATTTTAAAAGAGTGCTTGACGCGTGAGTGCACTGTGCATGTTTTTTTTTCTTAATAAAAACTATACTTTTGTGGGTATTTTGGGTCAAGGATAATAAATGGCATTAAATAATATTTGGAAAAGAATTTTCAAGGATAAAATGGAAATGTATACTAAAACGACTTTCAAAGTATTTCCAATATTTGTCATCTTTAAATCAGCTTCCATCTATAATATAAATATTTGCAACTACAATTCCAAATCTACGTCGCAAACTGTATAAATAAATAATAATCCTTTGCTTTCAATTAAAAAAAAATCCGTCTGGCTGTTTTTGAGAGATGTAGTTAATGTAGTTAATTAACGCAGCAATCCTCAAATAAATGCGTTAAGGTGTGAATCACACAAACTTCCGTATATGTAAGATCCCGCATTGTGATAATACGAGTGTAGCAAATCAGGAAACAGAGGCTTCCTCGGAAGGAGATTCATCTGCTGGAACAGAGCGCACAATTAAAGGAAAGAAGAGTTTGTTTATAATGAATGATCTGATGCAGTTTGGTGGATCTTGAAATCGTTTCAATATTGTGTTAACTTTCATGCGGAAATAACTGAAAGCAACAGCACGAAATTTACAAAATCATTTTCAATTGAATTTTAAAAGATTGAAAAAAATGTATTTCAATTGCTATGCATAAAATTTAAAAAAAAAAATATTCCTATACATTGCAGAGAGGACATTGAAATTCAAAATCAAAGCACAATATTCATTACACAATAAATTAAGTAACGCGTTGTTTTTTCTCTCTTCTTGCCAGCGATAGAAGACGCACTTTCCATGTCAGAGTGCTCATGTGTATACGGGCGTGCATACGAAATTCGAGTGCGTTTCTGAAAGAGCGAAAGTTTTTGGCACGGCCATCATCATCTAGAGTATTGTAATAATACATTTGCGAGCGTTCATAATGGACGTTTCTCACTTACGCACAATGCGCGCTTCAACACCACTGACGTCACACCTGGATAATTTTCTACTGCGGCAATGGCAAGGACGTCTGCAGCGAGTGCGTGAGGGGGAGGAGGAAGACGCGTAGCCAGATTGGTGCCAATGACCACACCTTGCGAAAACAACACTATTATGCCTTCCGAGGCTCTTATGCTTTATGTTTCTCCGCTGGCACATTGACCGACTCCAAATGAAGAAAGAAAACAGAATTACATAAACGTCCGCTGGCTACTTCGGTGCTATTAATTTAACGCATTGTGTCACCTTTGGCACAAGAAGTGAGTGTCGATTAGGAAAAAAGCAACCGCTTCTTCAGTATCTTGAAATAACTGAAGATTTATTTCTTTTAATTAAGTACATAAATAAGCTATGAGCGAAAATTGACCTTTATAAAGAAGTAAAATTTTGCTTCAATGCGTGTTTTTATCTGGAGCTGCACTGATTCTTTCACTTTTGATTCGCCGCAAGTTACAATTAATTTTTTGGAATTGAAGTCACTGGTGAACCAACAAGACGAGATTTCCGCGTCCTGATTAGTTTTATTGCCACCCAAGATAAACAGGCTAACTCGTGGTTTTTCAGTTGAAGCTCCTCGGCTTTTGTATATTAGTCATTACTGCTACCGGCTTTCGAACAAGTGCTTTTTTGCCACTAAACAATCCTGTAATGAAGTCATGATCGAAATTTTCTGCAATTGCCGGCCGCGACGCAATAAAAGCGCACGCAGAGTTTGGCAATTTCTCCTCTGAGCGACGTGAGTGTGCACTTACTTTTAACTTTATTATCCAGTTTCACGCTGCACAACTGAAAGTTCATTTTACTTATTGGCCAGAAGCTTAAAATTTAATAATTCATAAGATATAATTTTTTGGGTGAAAAGTTGTTCAAATTTAAATTTTAAAATTATATGATTTCATTTTATTCTTGTGCAAAACAACATATTATTATGGTGGATTGAATTTAAATTCGGCTTTTCCTCGATGGGTTTTTGTGAGTTTTTATTGTTTAAGAAAAACAATATCTTGCTCTACATGTTTCGGCTGCGGGCTCTCTTCTCTCGACCACCGCCGAGAAAGCTCATGAATTATGGCTGCAGCCCGCAGCCGAAACATGTAGAGCAGGATATTGTTTTTCTTAAACAATAAAAACTCACAAAAACCCATCGAGGAAAAGCCGAATTTAAATTCAATCCACCATGAATCAACCCTCGATCGTGAACTTCTACTACAAAACATATTATTACATTAAATTAACTCTGCCAACCTGTAACTCTTATGAAAATGCTGGTTTGCTTATTTGTTAAATACAATTATAATAGATAAATAAAGACACTGATTTTTCTCAAAAGTAAATAATTAACTTTTTCAGCAAATAGAAGAGTAAATAATTCACAATTCAATTACATACTCTTAACCAATGATTTATGTTAATTTGCAGATGAGCTGGAAGGAAAAATCAGACTGAAAGTGAAAGCAGTTGATGCATGTCAGATCTCATTATTATGCAAAATTCTCCCGAAGCTGCATCTGTGAGCAAACAAGCGCATCTACACTAGAAATCATAATTAATCTTTTTTCATATGGATGACGATTGCTCAAGGGGCAATTTATTTAATTTAACAGGCGTCTAATAGAATGACCAAGTCGTCAAGCGCATTTGATTGCCCTGCAATATGACTCTGGAGATGCAGCGGTGAAAGTGCTCGCAAGTGACCAACCCTTGTTATTATAAAATGACCTCTGCCGACCTTTTCATGTGCGAGCTGGTGAAACGAGCACTTTATACGCACACGCTTTTTATGAGTTACTTCATTATCTAAGTACTGCCTCCAATGCTGGCGGCAAATTACCCTTCGTCAATTGCACGGAAAGA